GAGAGAGAGAGAGAGAGAGAGAGAGAGAGAGAGAGAGAGAGAGAGAACACTACATTAGGTACAATTAACGTTTTGAAACCACAGACAGGATACTGCCTGCCTCCTCTTACCCAGGGCTAGTCCAAGATATGTACAAAGGACAACACATGATGTCCCAGGCAGACTTTAGTCATCTAAAGGCAGGAGTCAGGAACCTTTTCAGGTTGTGGGCTGGAAGGACCCAGCTCAGGTCAGAGGCAGGCAGTGTGTGGGTTGGCCTTAGGAACTAGCCAGCCCCTAACCTAAAAAAAACCATTGGGAGTGGGCAGAGAGGAGGATTAGGTTGCTTTTCACCTGAGATGTTAGAAATAGGCAGATTCAGAAGCCCATACTACTACTACTGATCAAAAGGTTAATTCTTCCACTGGATCAGGCAACAGTGGCTGCAGGTCAGAGTAAACATCAGTAGCAAGGCCTCTAAGGCTAGGGACAGACATTACACAAACTGTTTAAGTGATCAGAAACTGGTTTAAAGCTGTAACAGAACAGACATTCAGTGGACATAAACCAGTTTCAGAATGTCGGAAACTGCTTTGAGATCAACCTGGTTGAATGTAGTATCAGACTTAACTGATTTGGGTCAAACCAGTTTATGCAATGTCTGTCCCAGACACCTTTCTCACTTAAGTTAAACCACAGTCCCCCAGAATCCCAGCATGCTTTCTGGACTGGGCTCTGTCCCAGCCAGAACAGGGACAGGCAGGGTCAGGGGCCTGGCCAGAGCTGGGTTTCATTCCTCCCTTCCAGTCCCACTGGCAGGGACCCAAACCAGGTCTGCTGGGCACTCCCCTCTCACTGCTACAGCTGCAGGCCAGGGTGGCCCCTGAGGAGGCAGGGAGGGGGTTATTCTCCCCTCTACCCTCACGGCCTCCAGGGGACTCCAGCCAGGTCTGCCTGCCCCGACTGCCGCCAAGTGGCCGAATAAGCCCCATCCTGTCCCCTCTGGTTCCCAGCAGAGAGAGGAGGAATAACGCCCATCCCTACCCCCACCAAGAGGTCCTGCCGGCCAGCATCTGGCCCTGCCAGGTGGGGGCTGGCTGGGGAGTGGGCTTCCTGGGCCAGCTTGGAGTTGGTGGCAGGCCCAAGCCCAGCAGCCGTCACCGTTGTGCCCCCTGCCCTGCACTTAACAAGTAGCTCTGGGATAGCTGGGGCAGGGGGCTGCTCTGCTCCCCTCATCTGCAGCTGCTGCTGCCACTGCTACGCCACTCTGGGTGGAGAGGCAGAAGCTTCTGCCTCATGCCTGGAGCTCCTGCTCTGGCTCCAGCTCCCAGGCACCTTAGAGGGTAGAAGGTGCCTGGGTGGGAGGCTTCAGTGCAGAGGCTGCAGCTGAAGCTCAAAATGCAGGGCATAAGCCATATGGCTGAAGCTCCCCTACCTACCACAGAAGCTGTAGCTGGAGGCAAGTGGAGAAAGCCCTGCCGGGACAAGCCAGTTTCCTCTTGCCTTCCATGATGACCCTCCCTCCCATTCCTCCTGCTCCCGAGCCACTCCAGGAGGCAGCAGTGGGGGAGCTTCAGCCCTGCACGTGGAACTCCAGCGGCAGTCCCAGGACTGAAGTCTTCCACCCAGGCGCCTTCTGCTTTCCAAGGAGTCCAGGAGCTGGAGCCAGAGCTCCACGCACAGGGCAGAAGCTTCCTGCCCCCCCACCCAGAGCAGTGCAGCAGTGGCAGCTGCAAACAAGTGACACACAACAGACCCCCGCCCAGGCCAGTGGCCACCCTGCAGCTGCTTGTTAGGCTGCAGCCCCGGATGCTGCACAGGGCAGGGGGTGCAGCAATGGTGGCTGCTGGGCTCAGGGGCTGGCTGCCACTTCCCGAACTGGCCCGGGGAAGCCCATTCTGACCCCAGGCAGCCCCGACCTGGTAGGGCCAGATGCCAGCCCGCAGGACCCCTGGGGTGAGGATGGGGACTGGGGTTATTTTCCCTCCCTCCGGCATCCAGTGGAGGGGACAGGAGGAGGCTTATTCTGCCGCTTGGTGGAAGTCGGGGCTGGCAGACCTGGCTGCAGTCCCCTGGGGGCAGTTGGGGGGGGGGGTAAATAACCCCCCTCCCTGCCCCCTCAGGGGCAAGCTGGTCTGCAGCTGCAGCAGCAGCAGCAGCAGCAGCAGCAAGTAGGGGTGCCTGGCAGACCCAGCTCAGGTCCCTGCTGATGGGACAGGGAAGGGGGAATGAAACCCCTTTCTGGCCAGTTCAGCCGGACAGGCCGTCCCCACCTCCCCCCTCCACGCCCAGCACACTTTCCCTGCAGCCGAGGGGGTGCTCTAGCTCCCACGGCTCCTGGCCTGAGCAACTACAGGCATGTGTCCGCATGTCTGTGCAGTTACAAACCAGTTCAGCCTAGCCAGGTTAGACTAACCTGCAAAGGTTGAATCAATTCAGACTCCGACTTTTTGAATGTCTGTCCCTAGCCTAAAGCTCAGGGACATACCTAGCTACAGAACTGACACATGATCACAATTGCAGCCACATGATCACAATTGCAATTGCACTGGGAACCAGAAGTTGCTGCTGCCTTGTGCCCTGGCTGCCCAGCTGCATCCTTATACTGCTGCCCCCTCCCTCAGCAAATGTGACATCAGCCTTAGCAGGCAACAAACTGAAAGAGGTCCAGTGAGCTTCATGGGTTTATTTTAGCTGTATCACAGTCTTTGTGTCCATGAAATCAGGGCAATTAACTGCAGCTGCACCACACTGACCTGCATAAAGTTTAATTTTATGGAATAAAAGTTTTCAAGGCAGTACAAGCCAAGAGCCAGTTACTTCTATTCCTTTCAAAATACATTGCACAATGTTTATTTTTTGCACCCTCTCCTCTTCCAATCAATTTAAAATATTGTGAAGTCTGAACTACTCAGTTCTAGGTACATACACATTAGAACAAACTAAAATTCTTCTTCAGTTAAAAACTAAATAGAAAAACATTTTTAGACAGCTTTCTATGATAAGTTGTGTCAAGCAAGTCTACACAATATAAAGAAAGGAATTCAAAACTATAATAAAACCATAATCTTGCAAACAAGCATTCCTTTATGTTATTTTAGCATGACTCTTTAGAATGCATCTTACTCACCGTATTGTAGAGTTTATCAAACTCAGCATATCGCCTGAAGACAAACCATTCATTTCTGCCAACTGAGACCAACACTTTGTAAACCTGTGGGAACATGAAGGCAATGTAAATGCCAGAAAACTAGAGTTTGTTTTTGAGAGCGAAGAAGGAGGTGAGGGGGGAAGGGGAAATAAGGGAGAAGTTGGGCCAATTTCTCACTACATTTATGCTCGTTTCATATAAACATCCAAATCAGAAAGACCACAGGACACGCATTTAATTTTTATAGGATGCAAAAACAGTCTTTTTAGAATCGTTGTTTAAACAGAAATTAATAAAGCTGTTAAACACTAAGATTTTATCTCATTCAGCAATGTATCTTTAAACGTAGTATTCCTTTAGGCTTACTCTGGTATAGGCCCACTGTAAAACTAAAAACATCTTGCAAAGCTCCAAAGCCTTAAAACAACAGTGGAAGGCCAAGAGTGCCCTCATATCCTAGAGTGCTTCTCTTAAGGTAAAAACTATGAGGAAAATATGCAAGAAGATTAAAAAAGCAAGCTTTCAATGTAAAATTAAACCACACATTTACTGAAGATGACCCTCACCAAAGGGTTATTTCTAGTAAGCACATTTAGAAGTAAGAAGAGTGGCTTGCCCTATAGCAACTCTGTTTCTTAAAGAAGCTGTAAAGCCAGCCCACAGTATACATGCCAGAAGTAGCACGCATAGCCATTTTTTGTGGCATGTGGCAGATCAGGCATGGGCAGGATGAAGAGCAGAAGAATCAGGCAGGGAGCAAAGCGGTAGGACCAACTGGGAAGCAGAGCAGCAGGTTGAGAAGCAGGTGAGAAGTAGATCAAGGAGGTGGTGAGAGGCAAAACAGGACTGACCTAGGAGCCAAGCAGCACATGGGGGAATAAGAGATGGATTTGAAGTAAAAATACAAGGTGCCAAATGATATAAGATTACATCAAGTGAACTAACAACTGAAGTCTGCAAGATGACAATTAGCCTAGAATTAACACATTATAGGTCAGGGTGCTAATCACTGAGAAAGACAAGAGAAGCAAGTACTCCATAGTGATACATTTCATCATCTGACACATCCCCAACATTTCAGCTGATATTCCCTCAACGTTTTTCCATTGTAGGAACTAGTTGCGTCACAAGTTCAACTCTCATTTTACCCAGCATCCAGCTGAGCATTATCACTTCACCAATTTTGGCTGCAGACTGCAAGATCCTAGTCTTCATAGAGCAAAGACAATAAAAGACAACCTAGGTTCCACTATTTCTTTTAACTTAGGGAAAAGCTTAGTAGCTTTAATGGTAAAGCTTGTAGAAACAGAACTACGGCAAAAGTCTGTAGTTCTATTAACATTTTGCATGTTAGCTATTTCTTGAAATTCTTTTCAGAGGACTAAGATAAAGAATTTTATAATGATTGTTAAATTGGAGAGGTACTTGGTGATGAGCAGTCATTTTGGGAACAGTAATTCTTTTGGACTTTCTCAAATTCTAATGTTACTTGATAATCCCTTGACAATTCCTTCACAAGATTTAAGACAGAGGAATCTTTCACCACTTCAAAATTGAACTCCCATTAATTGAACAATGGAGAGAGCTGAGCACTTCTTGAGACTGAGTAATATTCAATTTCCATTTATGTTAAAAGGATTTGAGAGCATTTTGCATTTATGAACTGCCTGATCTTATGAAATAATTGACTTATGCACTGTAAAAAGTTAATAAGTCATGATTCCCAGTCTTTTCCTATTGAAGTTGCTGCACAAAGTGCTTTAAAATTTCATAATATTGAAGATATGTTTAAATAAAACTAACAGTAACCTTAACATGCTTTAGAAGTTAATGAAGAGAAGATTTCAGTTTCCAATATTTGTCATTAGTAGAGATCCTTATAGGAACACGCATTCAGTCGTGTGTGTGTGTATATATATATATATATATATATATATATATATACACACACACAC